AAATCTCTATTTTCCCCCTTTCCTTTGTTACTCGATTTTCTCAAAAATTTGCTTCTCTTCTTTCCTTTTTTGCAGCTTGAAGAAGATCTGCATCGTGCTAGATGCATGCTCTCTGATGGAGACACCTCTTCGTTTCTCCCTTCCAAACCTCAAGGTCTCTTTCTCTATCTCGATGATCACTTAAAATGTTTAATCTCGGATTCGATTCTGGTCTCGATTCATCGCATGATTGTTTGATTGATGCAGGACGATTTGTACGAATGTTTCTGGGTCCTGTAAATGTTCGAGCTTTGCGTAAAGACGTTCAGCTCAAAGTTAAAGAAGAATACAATAGCTACAGAGTTAGTGTTTTTGCCTTGCATGCAGCTTCAGTGTTCGATTTATCTCTAATTGCTTTAACTCTCCTCTTGGAACAGGATAAGACTGCTCTTCTTTTTCTTTTTTTCCCTGCAACACTTTTGATCCTTAGATCTTATTTTTGGGATGGATGTTTGCCTGCATTCCCTGTTCAGCTCTATGAGGTATATAAAGAGTTTGAATTGATGGGTTTTATTGAAACATTTGTATTACGTGTTGGAGTTCTTGAGATTGATGTTTTCCTTTTACTACTAGGGTTGGTTGTTATTCCTCTATACTGGATTGGTTATGCGAGAGAACGTATTGAGAGCCAATGGGAGCGATATCCGTCCATGGTACTTTTCCTCACTTGATTATAACTGTTGTGGTCTCTTAAGTTTCTCTTTCATCTTGCTATTCACTGCTTTGAATTTGGAGTGTTCTTGGTGCTTCTGTTATGCTATATGTGCAAAGTTATAAGATATGAATTCGGACACGGAGACAGTAATATGTTTCTGAGTGTGATTTGGTGCGATAATGTTGACCTATATTTTCCGAGCATATGTGTTGCATGGTTAAATGTGGTAGGACATAACTTAATCTTCACAAATAATTTTGTTGATACCTCTTCAGGGTACACTGAATTATTGCTTAATCATTTTTTTCAAGTAGAAAATAGATATCTATAGATTTCATGAATATGTTGAGTGGTTTTGGTTGAGGTTTTAGATGTTGAGTGATTTTGGTTGGTTCGGGGACTTTAGGTGGAGTGTTTAGTGGTGTTTCGGTTGGGTTCTATCTACATCAGTTGGGGATGCCTTAAATCTTTGAACCTGATATGCTTTTGCAGGTGGTTATATCATCACTATTGTGCCATGGCTATGGCCCTTGTCAGCCTCACATGGGAAATCAAAGGTCAACCAAACTGTGTCCAGAAACAGGTAATGGTTATTTCTTTTTATGCAGACTAAAACTTCACAAAGTAAATGCTGTAACGGAGTTTAATCCTCTACAGAGAGGAGTCCATCTTTTCCTGCAATGGGCTATGATGCAAGGTGTCGCCATGCTTCTGCAAAACAGATACCAACGCCAAAGATTATACACTCGCATTGCACTCGGAAAGGTACCTTATTATTTACTCTGTTTTTCAGTCCAACATTCTATCCGCTTTTGTGAAGTATTCGCTTAAGTTTGATTTGTGGTTATTTTTCAGGCTAAGAGGATGGATGTCGTATGGGGAGAAACAGCTGGAGTTGATGGACAGTTGTGGCTGTTATGTCCTATACTGTTCATTTTACAGGTGAGCTTTTTGTGATAATTGTAAGAATTATGTTCATGCTTAAACATCTTAATGCTTCTCATTTGCTCCACCTTGCGCCATCATTCTCTTTAACTACTTTAAACATTTCCATGCTTTGTATTCCGAAACCCATCGAAACCATAGATTCTGTATTGTTCCAAGTGTACCTTTGGAAGTCAAATATCTCTTTCAAGACACTTCATAAGTTAACTAGAGTTCATGATAATAGGCTAACAATGAAATATATTTTCTCTTTCCATAGAAATCCAAAAGAAACTCTTTATGGTTTGTCTGTTTAACCTATTGGACTTTAACAATCTCTATAACTGTTGGCCAAACTCAGGGGTTTGAAGCATACGTTGGACTGCAGTTGCTAAGGGCAGCATTAACCGGAGTTGTTGCCGAATGGCAGGTATTATTTTCACTCTTTTGGCATTATTTCCAGCTGGTATATTCCCGCGATACTCTGGTAGGAGCTGATAATCCTAATTCAATCGAGAACAAAAGAAGTACAACTAATCAAAGTTGAACATAAATAATGGTGTAATCTCAGGTGATGGTATGTGGCATTCTTCTAGTAGTGATGGCTGTTGGGAACTTCAAAAACACAGTAGAGACACTGATGGCAAAATCGAGATTTAAGGCGAAGATGAAGAGAAGTAAAAGCAGAGCAGAGCTTAATTAGACTTCATGGGATCTCTTTTTTTTCTTTGTGTTTTGCAATTCATAAATTTTGTTTTGCTTGGCCACAAAAGTCAGCTCTTAGGATCTGAAAACTATGAACATCCTTTTCCTTGTGTAAATGGAAGTGGCAG